GATTTTAATACATAGCGTTTATCTTAATATAATAATTTTTAAAGGTCTGATGAGGAAAAACTAAATAAAATATACTTAACAAATTTAGAAAAATAAGCTACTTCATAAAATTATTTGTAAACAGATGAAAAATAAAATAATATAAATTATACAAGATTTACTAAGACTAATATAAGCATAAAGAAATAATTTTGTTATTAAAGAAAAAGATAGTTTAAAATAAAAAAATAGTTTAAACAATATTTAAGTGAAGGGTTAAAGTTGATATAATTTGATCCAAATATAATAAAAAGTAAAATTTATATAAAAATAAAATACATTTATATGATATTTATTAATAAATTTAATTATATAATATTAAAAAAAAAAATATTTAAGAATATGTTTTTTTTAATATTATATTAAGTATTATATATATATATATATATAATATATATATATATATATATATATATATATATATTTTATAATAATATTTAATTTAATTAAAGGTTCTGATATATAAATACACATCATTAGAGATATATTAAAAATTTTATGTGATAAATGTATTTGTTTATCTAATTATATGATGGATAAAACAAAAATGAAAAACGTATATATATAATTTTAAATAAATATAACTTTAATATTTTATTTTTTTAAAAAAAGTGTTTTAAGTAATTAAACTAATCAATATGTATTTAATTAAATTAAAAATTTGAAGAACTTATTGCTTTTTTAGATGCAATAGCAGAAATATTAATATAAGGTATTTTAAAATATATATATATATATATAAATATATATATATATATAATTATATATATATATATATATAATATATATATACATATATATATTTATTAGCTTATTTATTCTAATTTTTTTATATAAATTAATTATATTAAAGAAATTAATAAAGATGAATATTTAAACTTTAAAATGGAAAATCCTCTTAGTATATATAGAGAGAAATTTAAACTTTTTGAATAATTAACAAGAAATAAAAGTCCTTAAAATTAAGAATATCTTTAGGATATAAATTATAATGAAATAGAGGAAAATAAATTATAAGAAGAAGAAGAAATATAAAATAATTAATTATTAAAAGAATTATAAAAGATACCTAACAAGTATAAAAATTATAATATTTTATAAAAAAAAAATATTATTATTTATATATATATATATATATATATATATATATATATATATATATATATATATATATATATATATATATAGATATGATAAATAAAAACCTTATTTTGGTTTAATAATAAATAATATATAATAAGAGTATATAATATTTGAAGATAACATGTATTTATTTGATAAAATGGTTGATTATATAAAAGAAGCAAATGAATATTTTCGAGTTTATTCTAGATAAAGAGATTACCAATAAATAAAACAATTTACAGCATTTTATTTATTAAAATTAATATCTAAAAATAGATTTTTAATAAGTGAATTTGGAGAAGCTTTTAGAATTTATGAAAAAAATAATGATGATCTAATAAAATCATAAAAAAAATATCTTTTTAATAAATAAAAAGTTGGATTAATATAAGACTAAGAAAATTTAAAAAAGGTATTTTTATTTTATTTTGTTTTGTTTTGTTTTTTAATTATATTTTATATATAAAGACACTTTTGTTTTTTAAAATATTAATAATAATGAAAAAGTTGAATATTTTTAAAAAGTTTAATAGCTTGCCAATGAATTATTGACTAAATTTAATTCTAATAAAAAAAGAATGTAAACTCGAGAATCTAAAATAATTCTTAATTAAGAGTAATATTATTTTATATATTATGTGTTTTTGAAAAATAAAATAATATAGTAAGTTTAATAAAGAAAAAGAACTTATTTTAGAAATAAATAATATAGAAAATTTAAATAATTAAACTTTTAAAAATAATTAAATTGCTGATAATAGAAAACTTATTGCCTTGTAAAAAATTTATAAACCAATTGTAATATTTATTAATTTATATACATTTAATTATTTATTATGTTTTTAAATAGAAATATTAAAACTTTAGTAATAAAAATCCTATTTTTGGTTAATAATATTTTAAAGTATTTTAAGTTGAACACAAAAATACTTAATGAAAATATTCTAAAAAATATCTTAAAAATAGAGTATATTAACAAAAAATAAATATTTTCTTGTATTAACTTTTTTACTTTTAAAAAAATTAATTAAACTAATTAAAATTTTTTAAAAATAAACTAATATATAAAAATTAAAATATGAATTTACATATTTATAGCAATTTAATAAAAATAAAAATACAAATATAATATATAAGATAAAAAAAATAAAATAAAAAAATAGAAATAAAAAATAAAATAAAACAAAATATATTAAATT